CGATGCTGCTTTCGACAAGATGCCAAATCTTAATAAGCTCGTACTAGACATTAACCACTTTGTGTCTTTACCGGCACAGATTGGCAAATTGCGAAAGTTGGAGTATTTCAGTATTGCCCGAAATTCGTTGAGTAGTCTTCCAGCGGAGCTTGGGTGCCTGACAGAACTTCGATACCTTGATATAAGACAAAACAATCTCAAGAAACTTCCTATGGAGATATGGTGGGCAAACAAATTAGAATTCCTCAATGTTTCTTCCAACGTTTTGGAAAACTTTCCAAAGCCAGGTTCAAGACCTCCTCAGCCACCTGGCGACGTTGGTTCTGCCAACAATAATGCTGGTCTGAATCCGCCAAACTCCAGCTTCGAGGAGCTCGGACCTTTAGACTTTGGACACAGAAGGCCAAGCCAGGCTTCTAGTGGGCTTCTCAGTGTAGGTAGCTCACCAGTTCCCGATGCTAGGAAAGGGTCAGTCGTATCAGTTTACGGTAAAGGAGGACGCAAGACTTCAGTAGTGTCAAGAAGTACTTCCGCAAGTACAATCAATCACCCACCACCGGTAAACATACGCAAGGATTCAGGATTGTCCGCCAAACTTGTCAACACATTCGCCGGATCACTGAGAAATCTTCACCTGGCTGATAATGGGCTTGATGATGATGTTTTCGATGAACTCACTCTTCTCAGCGAATTGCGGGTTCTAAACCTTTCTTACAACGATCTCAACGATATACCATCGAGGTCCATCAAGAGCTGGCCGCAATTGGTTGAGCTTTACCTGTCCGGAAACGAGCTCACTTCTCTCCCTTCAGATGATTTTGAAGAATTCAGTCTCCTTCAAGTCTTGCATATCAACGGCAACAAATTTCAGACCCTACCTGCAGAACTTGGAAAGGCGCATCGCTTGACCGTTCTAGATTGTGGTAGTAACTCATTGAAGTACAATGTTTCAAATTGGCCCTACGATTGGAACTGGAATTGGAACACCAATCTGAAATATCTCAACCTTTCCGGGAATAAGCGTCTAGAGATTAAGCCCTCGCTTCCGGGAAGTGCGGGTGCTCGAGATGGGCGTGATCTTACGGATTTCAGCGCATTACAATCTCTGCGAATATTAGGCCTTATGGATGTAACTCTCACTATTCCATCTATTCCTGATCAGACCGAAGACCGGAGAGTTCGAACTTCAGGCTCTCTTGCAGGACAGTTAGCTTATGGAATGGCAGATAGTTTGGGGAACGATTCACACTTATCTATCATCGATATGGTTGTGCCCCGCTTTAATTCTACTGAGACAGAAACTCTTTTGGGAATGTTTGATGGTGCGATATCGTCAAATAGAGGTTCGAGGATTGCAAAATACCTCCATGAAAATTTCGGTCACATTTTCAGCGATGAATTGAAAAGACTGAACGCTCTCAATAATGAGACTCCTAAAGACGCGCTTAGACGTGCTTTCTTGTCACTCAATAAAGACTTAGCTACTGCTGCAGCTCAGAGTAATGAAGAGAGGGCAGTGCTTTCGCAAAGAGGATCTACTACGCCCGCTGTTCTCTCTCAAGATGATCTTACCTCTGGTGGTGTAGCTACTATCATGTTCTTGCAACAATCCGAGCTTTATGTCGCCAATGTTGGAGATGCTCAAGCCATGCTCATTCATGAAAAGGATGGTCATCGAATTCTAACCCGGAAGCATGACCCCGCCGAGCCAAATGAAAGACAGCGCATCCGGGATGCAGGTGGGTGGGTCTCCAAACAGGGGAAATTGAACGATGTTCTCGAGGTCTCCCGTGCATTCGGCTATGTCCATCTACTGCCTGCTGTTCAAGCTGCACCTCATGTCACGCATGTCACTATCAAAGAGCAGGACGAGATGGTACTAATTGCTTCAAGAGAGCTTTGGGAGTATTTATCCCCTGAACTTGTGGTTGATATCGCCCGGTATGAGAAGCATGACCTCATGAGAGCTGCACAAAGACTTCGAGATCTTGCCATCGCCTTCGGCGCTTCTGGAAAGATTATGGTCATGATGATGGGTGTTAGTGATCTAAAGAAGCGTGCTCAAATACGACCGCACCGAGTTCAAAGTCTATCCTTCAACCCAAATATGATGATGGACGAGGGATATGTTCCTTCAAAGAGACCTAAAAAGAAGATCAATGATATTGAAGATTCATCGCTCCGAAGACTAAAACAAGAGGTTCAAGCGCCGGTGGGCGACATCGGTATTGTTTTCACAGATATCAAGAGCTCTACCGCGCTTTGGGAAACCTATCCCAACGCCATGCGATCTGCAATCAGACTTCACAATGAGGTCATGCGCCGCCAATTGCGCATCATTGGTGGCTATGAAGTCAAGACAGAAGGAGATGCTTTCATGGTATCGTTCCCTACCGCGACATCTGCTCTCCTTTGGTGTTTCGCTGTTCAAGCAGCATTACTTGAAGTTAATTGGCCTGCCGAGGTTATAACGAGTCACATGGGGCACGAAGTTTATGACAGCAACCAGAATCTGATCTTCAAGGGTCTGAGCGTCAGGATGGGCGCTCATTGGGGTCGACCAGTGTGCGAGAATGATCCAGTAACGAGACGGATGGACTATTTCGGTCCTATGGTCAACCGAGCAGCTCGTATTTCTGCCGTTGCCGATGGTGGTCAAATCACTGTATCCGCTGATTTTATCTCTGAGATTCAACGATGCCTCGAGACATATAGTGAAAGCGACCGCTCTGGATCTACAGGCTCGGAAGATGCTTTCGACAGCGATTTTATTAGTCAATCAATTCGTCGCGAGCTTCGCTCCCTGAGCAGTCAAGGGTTTGAAGTCAAAGACATGGGAGAAAGAAAGCTCAAAGGATTAGAAAATCCCGAGTACATCTACCTCATGTATCCGCATTCACTTGCTGGCCGAATTAACTCCCAAAGATCCCTGGAAGGCGAGGCAGCCGTCATTGCGGAGGAGCCTGCCACTCTTGCTCCTAATTCGGAATTGACCATTGATCCGGCCCATGTCTGGGATATATGGAAGCTCAGTCTAAGGTTGGAGATGTTGTGCTCAACTCTAGAGGAACCTCGTGGGGAACCTTTGCAACCTCCCGAAACAGCCATGCTTGAGAAGATGAAAAACAGAGGTGGAGAGGTGACTGATCGCTTCCTGCTAAACTTTTTAACTCATCAAGTCTCAAGGATCGAGGTAATTTTCCCGACAATTTGCTGTTATAGTATTCCCGCTAACTATCATAGACATGCGTTACTGCAATCGCTACGCGTCATTTGGCGCTTGGTCAAATAGCTATCTCCGACCTCGACCAATTACGTGCACCAATGGCAGACGTCATGGAAGGTCTTGCAGCTGATTTGCGAGAATTACAACAATATAGAGCTAAGTACGGTCCGTTGGAACCACCCTCGGTATACGAATCTGAGGATGACTTCGAAACCGTATAACCAAAATCACCCAAAATCACTTTCTTATATTGGTATAACAATCGTCTATCGAGCAACACGACTTGACAAATTCAACTCGGGTAGCACAATGTATATCTTACCTAAATACCATGTACAGCATTTTTAACTATGTTTTCTTATTCACTTTTTTAGTATACTTTTATTTGGGGACAGAACTGCGATGGTATAGTGGAATTGTTTAGTCATCTGCTTTTACACGGCGACTCTCTTGACTTTTTGGGTCATTGGGCATAGGCATTAGCGGCTAGGTTTATATATGGATTTAAAAGGATAAGGCGGGATTGGACATAGGAGTTCAGTCTATATATATTTGTTGGTTGTTTGTTGGGTCGGGCCCCTGAGCGGGGCATGAGTTTTTTGTGTTTACTTATCATTTTGATATATACTTTAAAGCTTCGTTATCGAATTGGAATCAAGGAAGGGAATATATCTGGATGGGTGTGGTGATATGAATGGATGGGAAGATCACGGGAAAGGAAGGAAAGGAAAGGAAGGAAAGGAAGGGAGGAAGGAAGGGAGGAAGGAAGGGTCGACGGTTTTGGGTCTGCATCGTATGTATGAGATCATCACAAAGACTGCGTCTTAGATCTTGATTACACTGGAGGCTGGCAGAAATGAATGGAAGTGGAAGGCAAGAGCTTATAGGAGGATTGCTCCCTTGAAGGGAAGGGAAATATAAGAGAAAGGAATCGGAATAACATTACGACTTGATGACTCGGATTTCCTTGGTACGAAACTGAGAATTTATAGCATCGGATTGAATTGGTGGATTGAAGGGTATATACAAATGTTAAGCGAGCAGGCGAGCGTGGCATGTTTGGAATGTTTTTGATCCGGAGATGTGTAGACTGGGCGGGGCGCGGGGTGGCGTGACGTGGTTGAGAATTGAATGGATGGAATAGGGGAGAAGGGTGGGAATTCGAAGGGAGAGATTCAAAAGAAGGGAGAAAAATTATATGAAACACATATTTTGATTCGAGTATTGTGGTTGATGTTTTGAAGATGCTATGTGTGATGTTGTGTTGGTGTGATTTGGAATCTGAACGTATGGTTGATTGAATCCTTTGAGGACCTCGGGAGGAATTGAATGTTTTGGTAGGTAGGTAGTAAGTAAAAAGGTTCGGCGTTTATATTCCAGTTGATGACTTTGGGTTTGGGATTGATGTTTTGGGATGTGGTATGCATGGGTAGGTGGGTAGTGAAAGGGCAGAAGGAATAAGAATGGGTACTTTGCTTAGGGGAAGAGACAATCGGAGAGTTGATAGATAGGTGGGTAGCTGAGTGTTATAAGTACAGTAGTCTGAGACGAGTAGTCTTGAGAGATTATCATTGACTTGGCCGGGAGAGAAGGTTGGATGTGAAATGGAGGAGTATTTTTTGAGAGATGGAGAGATTGAGAGATAAGTGATGGTGTGTATGGCTGGTTGTATGATGAATTCTAGAATCTTGTCACATCATCTCCCGGTGAGCTGATCTCATGTCTAGTGGGGATTTGTGATGCCTATTTTGTATTCGCATGTATACGAATCTAGATGTCCATTTCAACACTCCTCAAAACACCGCACAATCCCCACTCATAAATTTAAAATTTACACATTCATTCATTCATATCATCATTAAAAAACACAAAAAAGTACATAAATATGTATACATCAAACCCACCCCGGGCTCCTCGGACTCATCAACACATCCTCATCTACACTCCTCGCGCTACTCGATCGCGAATTTTGCTCCCGCGGCGGCCTCAAATGTTCTCCATCCTCTCTACTCGCAAAATTGTGCGTATTTTCTAACCCGCGCTCCACATCTCCCGTTTCGGGTTCACTCCGGGATGCCTGTCTACTGACCAGCTCCGTACCGTCTTCCTCTTCGATTTCCTTGTCGAAGCCCATGCCTCTGTGGCTCGACGTCACGTCGAATGTTTTCATCATTGTGATGCCCTGATTAGTTGCGTACGAGCCGCGTCGTGTATTAATGTAGGAGTTTTGCGACGCGAGTTTGGGAACGCTGGAGCGGCGACGGCTGGGATCGTAGCCGAGCGATTTGGAGTGGTTGGAGGAATTGTGCGTGGTGCCTGCGATGCGGGGGAAGAGGCGCACGAGGAGGAGGCGGATGGCGGGCATGCTGGAACAGATGATGCCGGTGCAGATCTCGATGGTGCACCAGTAGCCGAGGTGGACGTAGTCCCCTTTGAGGATTCATTAGCTTTGGGGTTTTGGGACAGGGGAATAGGGGGAATTACATGTGGGATTTTGTGTATTCGCAAAGACGATGAGGGATTTTAGACGAAGAATGCTGACGACTGTCACACTAGAAGTAGTTAGCATGATGTTACACGGTATCAATGAATAGAGAGCTTATACTTACATAATACCAATACTCAACATAGCAGCCACACCAATCTTCTTTTTCCAATGCAAATTGAGATCGTAGAGTTGTGTCAAGGGAAGTATCAACATCCAGATATCCATCACAATACTGATACCTGCACTTGAAAATGCCAGCGCATTGATATTTAGACACTGCCCAGCATGTTCACCATCCCATCTTTTCCAGTAAAAACTGATTGGGCGGCATTGTAAGGCGGCTAATAAGTCGATTATTATGAACATCAGAAGGTTCGCGATAATCGTGCCCCAAATTGTCCAACGTATTTTGCGTTCGGGGAAGAGACGAAGGAAGAAGAAAAGGATCGAGATTTTGATGAAGTTGACTTGGGCAAAATAAAGGATTTCGGCTGCGTAGAACCACTGCAGTTGGTTAGTCTCACATAACAAAGTGTGTTCTAGTCGTAACACTACTCACACGAATCATGTCACTGATGCTAGTGAAATTTAATGTCCAGATGTCTTTCCCCAGTCCGTTGCCGGTAACTATTTCTCAGTAAGTATATGTAGATGAGATGTGTTGATCGCAGGAAAACTCACGGCCTCGAACATTGATAACAGCTTGTGGTATACCAACAATCTATAATGCAATTAGCTACACTCCTATCATATCCACTCATGCCATACTAACCATAACAAAAGTCGCAACATAATCATCCCACCAGAGTTGAGTATCAGAGGTGAATCTTGAAGCAATTCTCAGAAGGAATGCTATCCAAGAAGCAACGACGAATGAGTTGGATATCCAGTTGTACAAATCCCTTTTATCCCTGACTGGCGCATTGCAGGCGACGGACGTAACATTTTTTGTACCTAGAAAGTATTAGAACTAGAATTGTTCTAGCAACTTATTGTGACTTACTAAGTGCTTCTTTAATAGTGCATCTCTCCATTACACAAATGTTAATCTCTGCATTTAGAGGAACATTTGTACAAATGCATTGTTGATCGGTAGGGGAGCACGTGGAATTCGCAAGAGCTATGGTAAGACAAGTGAGCTAATGTGATGTCAGTATATATTGGAAGTTCCAAGAATATCCACAACTTACAGCACATGAAGGAAGAGCTTCAACAACGTCAGCTGTTGACAATGATGCGGCAAAGACGTTGACTGGCAGCACAGCGCACAGTAAGGATAACCAAGCAAAGACTCTCATTCTGACTTCGGATATCGTTGATGAACAACGTTCATGAACCGGGATAGGTTTTACATATAGCAATTTCTCTTCACCATATGTTGTCAAACTTACATCTTCTCCATTGTCTAGAATGCAGATCGATATAGGAAGAAAAAGCTCGAGAGATTGAGAATCAGGATAATCTTTGTTGACAAGAGTAAGTTGAGTCTAAGTTAATAGTACAATTTGTTGATGCCGAACCACTATACAAGGCACTAGCAGTGGATAGTGGGAAAGGCCCTCAATATGAGAAGACTGTGCATCGTAGTTCATCCCGCTAAGCTTGAAATTTGGGGTGCATCTTGTCGCAGGGCACGGTTTCACTAGCTTAATAAGGTATCAATGAGCCACAGGGGAGACGATTGTTTTCGTCTCTGACACGAAACACATTACAATGAACCTCAACAACTCTGAAGGGACTCGGGAACTGATGCTCATTCGAACTCTTCGCAATCTTGGAACATTTCGGCAGACTGTGGCATGCACTGCAGTTCTCGATGCAGAGTAATTCTGATCTTGACGGAATATCGATCTTCTGGGTAGTTATGGCCCACCGAAAAAATTTGGGAAGTGGGAACATGCTAGCGTGCTCGAGCAGATTTCCTTCCGCTCGGGACCTTTCGAAAGCCATTGGAAAACCTTATCTCCCACAAGACGGGTTACGGGCGAACAATATGCCGCATAAGGCATGAGTTTGCTATACTGGAGTAGTCTACAGTAGAACTTGGTTATTCCGGAATGAAAAACTCGACCAATCAAATCCGGTATACGGAAGATTCCGGTATAAAAAATGATGGTTTAAGTGTTCTGGCTAATATTTTTATCAGATTTTAGCTTCAAACCCCGATATTTTCGAAAAATATTATGTGACAGTAGCCAATCGAAGCTTATTCAGCTAAATTTTCTACCAAAACTTATACCGGATTCGAAAAAGAGTTTTCGGTATTCCGGTTTTGTCCAAAAATCCGGTATTCCTATATAAAAAGTGGTCAAATAAGAAAAATCATTCCGGTATATCCCAGTCCGGTATAGCCAAGTTCTACGGTAGCTTGTGTCCATAGCGAGCTCGCGTACAAGACTAATATCTTATAACTCGTGGAGTTACATCGGAAAATCAGGCTAGCGTAGAAAACGAATCAATGAAAGATGTCTTCGGGAGTTAATACAAAGCTAAAAGCTGCAACCTCTGAGGATGAAGCTTGAAAATAATAATGATAATGATGATGGTGGTATTGTTGGGTGTTGGTTGGGCTTGGTGTCTAATCGGTCCAAATAGCCGATTACGATACGTAGACACTTCTACCGCAAACTTCTTCCGGGTCTCTACTTGTTTCGAGTCAGCTGTAATCAGTGCTAAGTCATCTATGAGATACTCGAGTAGAGTGCCTCGCTAGGAGTTTTAGATAGAAAAGGGTGTGACTACGTGGCTGCATGCAGTTTGACAGCCACAAAATAAATATCTGGTGTAACTTTACGTTACATCAACTTTGACTTTATCTAACAGTCTACCCAGTACCTACCGGCATCGATTTACTTTTGCGTGGTGGTGTTGTGAAGTTCAAACGTCGATAACGTTGTGAAAGATCGAAAGCACAGATAACTCAAAACTAACTTCCGAAAAGGTACTACTATCAGTTAGACGAGAAGTTGTTTGTCGCCCTGAATCGTACATTGATGATAGTACAAGTTGTTGCATATCATTGTGCGAAATCGGAATGAGACACGAATTCTACTCCGTCTAGGTCTATTGGTTGTTGATGTCAACATGTAATTTTCAGGAACAAGGGACAGGAACGAAAAACGCGGCACAGGGAGATACTGTGAGGGAAAGCAGGGGAGTGTCGGGGGAAGGGAGAGGGGAGAAGGGGGTACTCATAGCCTAACAATACCAAGTGGATCATAACTTAACAAGGAGGTTTTTGAGTGTTTACGAACTTCGATCATCTGGGGAGTCCTGGTCAAAATAGTTCGAGAACAGTGAGCAGAATGTATTACAGAACAATCATCCAAAGCTTTCTACTCGTCAAGAATTGTTGTCCCTTTCCGTTCCTTGCAGAACCAGATTTCTTCTAATTTACCATCTCCCGTTTGACAGTAAACCGCTTGCTGCAAATTTCCACAACTAACTGAACCAACAATTGAATAAAATTGAACCTAATTGACCTGTATTGAATATGGATGAAAATCCGAAAGCCCCGGAAGATATCGAGGATGTGTACCATAAGTTGTTTTGCCACATTATCTACTCTGTACCCACAATTGACATGTGCCGCTACTCACGTATAAAATCCACCATTCTTTAGCTCGTTCGTTCGCTTGCTCACATGTCTTACCTTACTCGAATGTCAACAATGGCACCGGTCAAGTGACACTATTCCCAGATTTACCAAAAAGGACTTTGGTGATAACTTATAGATCATCGCTTTCCCCTGTAGGATCGCCATTGATCTGCGTTACGATGCCGGCAGATATACCATCATTCCACGTGTTTCACACCGCACGTAAAAGTTGGCAAAAGCAATAATACGACCCCGCATATTCTGATGAAAGTCTACAGAGCAGATAACTAGACGCACGTTCTCAACCATCACAATTACAACATATTGATTTTGGGTGCTTCCGAATATCTGATTCGCTCGGGCAAACAGAGTTCTCATTTCATTGACTCTAGCATAAGTCAGATCTCTAATCATATCCCCTATTTTCTAAATGAATATTGAGACTGGTCAACTCTCATAGCCCTGCGATGTGATCATCATGTCTGAATAAGGGTAGCTAGAGATGAAAGCGCCATTACAATTTGAGCACATGATAACTATCTACTGGACATCAAGTGAGCCGAGAGATATCGAGCCAGTGCTTCAATGTCCACATGCATATACAGAACAATTGCCAAAGAGAAGCGCCACTATTTGCTTGTGGTGTCTTCTCAAAACCCTCGGACCAAACCAGACCCCAGGAAATAGTTGATCTACTCCAACAACACACATGTTGAAGTATTTCACTCTGCCCTACAACTTGAGTATCTGGTCTACAAAGGTGGTCAAGACATGCGAAACTACCAACATACACATGTTGACATTACAGCACATGTCGCTGAGAAACTTCGGCAGTTATTGCCTCGGCCTACCGGTATATCACCAACGACGCCCGAGCACACGTCAAACACTTGTTCCGTGCTCACTGAAAGTTTTGGCGTCTCCAGAGCGTCAGAAGGGAAGCTTAACATTTGTCGTTTGAAGATACCGATGGAGACATCAAATCAATCAATTTTAAACTTGACCATAATCTTCCCCAGACTGCGGCATGAATTTCCAAGGTATCCATTGTCTAGAATGTCATAGCTTCAACCGCCACAAAGATAAGTAGTGTATGGGAGCTACCGAGTTTTACTGGGGATTTGCGTTAGTTTTTCATGCGTTCTCATCGGAGGGTCGAGGCAGGAATGATCCTTCCGTCTATTGTTGCTTACGACTTTAAGCATGACGAACGTCGTCATTTCATATCGCCCCATCTATATATCCCTCTTATGGACTTCAAAACCAATATTGTATGATTATCGATAAGTATTGGTAATTCTTATGATATCGACGATGTTAATGCTGATAGGATTACACGTGTAGTCGACGTACAAAGAAGTCAAAGATGATGATAAACTCAAACCGTCCACAGCTAAACTGAGAGCCATAAGGTTTACCACTCGACAATCTTAGCCGCAATAATGGTGGTTGATAGAGTCAATGATCATTTGCAATATTAACATTCCTGGATTGCAATATCTACTAGTCTTCCACACAACCAACCGAACTATCAACTTCACACACCCACCGTACGGCCACATCCCACCCACCACATTCACTCACCTACCTACCCAAATCATGTTCACCGCCTCTCTCGCCAGACACACAGATATACCCAAACAACTCATCTTCCACCACAACATCCCACCAACTGGCAGAGTGGTCAACCCCACTCGCTCAAGTCAGTTCGCCCAGTGAAGCAAGAATATACCAACCGATCCCGCATCGATCTCGGATGTGGGCGTGTGTGGGATGTTGCTACTAATCCAAAAAACCGGTGGTGCCGGTTTTCCCCTATAGCGCGAGAAGTCGCGCTCAGTAGGTTTTGCATTTTTGGAAGTCGAGGAGATGGTGGGATAAGTGGGGCGGGCGGCCGTTGTACGGTAGAGGATGTGGATGGTGAAGCGAGTGAGTGAGTGAGTGAGGAGAGGAAGATGATGAGAGGATGAGAGGTGTGTATTTTATTTTGGCTTATGGTCTTGAATTCTGGATTGTCCCATCGTCCACCTAGGTGTCTATCTCGTTGGCCGGATTATTCTTTTCGACCCAGACATCTCTCGCAAGTTCTTTGCGCGAAGTTGGTAAATGATAAAGGGATGAGTATATGCGACGCATCAAATCACGGCACACCATATCAACATAGGTAGATACTTCATCTATATATCCATCCATGCCATCAATTTCTTCTTCCAACCCCAGAAATCTCACCATTCCAATACAACAGAATAAAACATTAATCTCAATCCCAATCCTAATCCTAATACACACACAATCTCGATGTAACAATCCTCATTATATCTCATCATAAATCACAAATTACAAATCACAAACTACCTCAACTTCAACTACATAGCTAGGCACAAAAATAAACACAAACAAACACAATTGCGCACACGAAATCCCCTTTTCACTAATCAGTATCCCCCCTCTCTTTTTTTCCCTCTCCGTTTCCATTCTGTCCTTCTCATAAACGGAGAATAAGGAATTAAGAATGAGACAGATAGACAGATAAAGTAAAATTAAAAAGGCAAAAGGTCTAGAGCTCTGTCTGGGAAGAAAGAGAGTTATAGACATCTGGCTCTAGCTTTCACTAGGAATATTGGGTTATGTTATGTTATTACATTACCATCTCACTACATAAAACTACCTATATACCTAGCTGTTGATTGATCTACACATCAATTTAATTAATTAATTAATCAATCTCTCTGCGCATTCAAATATCCATCCCATCCCATCCCATCTTCCCCGGCAATAAATCCGCACTGCCATAATCGAATCAAATCAAATCAGAACAGTCACAAGCAACATCAAAATCCCTTCAAGCACCATCCGCATAAATACACACTTAAATTCCACCCACCCACTCGCCCACTCGCTCAAACAAATCAGTCAATAGATAATCATCAACCAAAAAACAAACCCAGCAAGAGTTAGTGTACAAAAGAAAGTATATTCATCTCATCTCCAAGGGAGCCATGAATCAAACTCCCAATCTCAACAATCAGATTCTAGAAATAGATAGCTGCCCGTTAATCCCATCACCTCACGCGTCATACACTCATCACACTCACCAGTCCTTACAATCCCAAGACTCAAAACCGAAAAACAAAAAGAACATCTGGATATCAATATTGAAGAACGAAATGTAAACAAGCATGTTTGTTTTCTGAATTGAATGAAAAGCAAGTCTCCTAATAAATACCCTCCCACCTCAAGCATAAACACTCTTCGAACCTGGTTCATCCCACCTCGGCGTAATTGTATTTTCCAATTCCTCTCTATCATCTCTCTCCCTCCCCGGCGTACTCCAACCACCTCTCCCACTTTTCCTCCTCCTAACACTACCATCCACATCCTCCAACGCGCCGATCCACTCCCAGACCCTCGAGATCTCACCATTTTGACTCTCCCTTTGCATAGATCTAACATTCGAATTCATCTCCACCACTTTCTTGACCTTTGTCCAGATTTGTTCTCGCTTCTTCAAACTATGTTCATCGCGAAGGACATCATCTCTCAATTGCCCTATACTGATCCAACCGTCCTTAAATCCATCTGGATCGGAAGCGTGAAGGGATGCTTGAGTAGCGAGACGTTGAAGAGTATGTGAAACCAAAGCAGGAATTGCGGCTTTCGTAGCTGTATGACTGCGAATTGTTGAACGAGCATAAAGGAAGAGGATAAAGGCCAGAACTAAAGATCCAATTTCGAGATAATATCTTGCCAATGTGTGTCTGAAGGATCGCTTGACGGCGCAGACGAGGGGGAGACGGGCGAGTGAGGTACTTGTGAGGGTGTTTGATCTACAACGAGGACGTTTAACCTGATTAGTGAACCGAGTTGTCAGAAGATATTGTAGTAAAGGGAAGAATACATGTACAAAGAGTGACCAAGGTCAAAAAGGGACGGAATCCAAAACTTACCCATCAGCACCAGCAATTACTTCATCTCTCCCTTTAATCTCTCCAATGGCACCAAGCCATAATTCCTCGAATTCGGCTTCTCCCATGCCCTTTCTCCTCTTCTGGCTAACTTCTTTCTTTAAATGTTCGGCATCTATCTCAACAGTTGGTTCGGGTGCACCAGCTTCATCTGTCAAATCACCGCATTCCCATTTTGCTCTTCTCTCTCTCAGTTCCTCGACTGCTCGGTCCGCGACAGCTTTGACACGCCTTTGCTTTTCTCCATCAGGTTCACAAGTTGGTGGAAGCGGTAAGAATCCACCCAACGAGAGAGGATGATGTTTGAGAATAAAATCTTGGTCGCACTGAACTTCATAGTTGGCATTACAATAAGCATGCTGCGGGCACCAATCGCACTGCGGTTCGGCGAGTACTTGTACCCAATCCGGAAGGTCTGGTCTGACGGGTATTATCGAGTGCGCTTCTCTCCCTACTCCACAGAATCCTACGGCAATTTTCTCTTGCCTGTACCAAGTAGCATAACCACCAAGTAATGTAAGAAGAATCATCCAAATTGGTCCACTCATGCTGACACCGTTTGATGCTTTTCGTCGTGGTTGAATCGTAGTGCGCCCTCTCTGTTGCTCACGCTCGAGTTCGAATTGCGCTTCTGGAGTAAAATCCTCACTAATCTCTACTCCATTCTCGTCATAATCCTTCAGCCCATCGAGGCTACTAACAGGAATTTCGAAAGTGGAAGAAATTGGTGGGCGTATTCCTACATTAGCTTGCGGGGTCACCGTGCGTATTCTCGAAATCGAACTCCTTCGTTTTTCCATTTCCTTCATAACGCTCCCGCCCATGCTCTTTCTCTTACTTTCATGACTTGATATGGGTATTCTAGGTGGCGAGCCCCTTTGAAAGGGATTGTCATGGGTGAAATTGCTTTCTCTCCGCGGGTCTTTCTTTTGTACCACTCCATCTAAATTGTCCCTCGCCCCGACCATCGGCGTTTGAACCGTTGTGCTTTTTCTTGATTTTCTCACAGTCTGCGGGGCATCGTCATCGTCTGAAAGACTTTCCTCCTCTTGCCTGGCGTGTTTAACGCTTGGTTTCGATGTCCTTTTCACAGGACTACTAGCTCTAGGCATTTTCTTTACTGGGCTGATAGACCTAGTTGATCTCCTGATATTCCTGTACGCTGGCTCATCATCGCTAATATCCACCGATGCTCTAACTTTTGCAGGCGATTGTCTCACACCTCGTGTCCGCGGTGGCGGCAGGATAACATCACTTTCTCGTGGACTTTCCATTGTACTTTCCTGAGTGCTGCTCTCTTGTGATGAGTCCGCATCGACGATTCCTCGACTCGTTCTCCTCGCACGCGCTCTTTCGTACAATATCTTGTGTGCCTGTGGTCTTAAATCCTCGTTGAAGATTTCGACAAGTTGCGCTTTCTTCGCATTGGATGGATAATCGATATTATGTGTGACTAGAATAGAGCGGATTCGAGCCATTGTAAGGGCAGCTGGATCAAAGCCATCTTGCAGGTAATCGAGTTCATCTGACATGATGTTTGCTTGTTCTCTGTTGTGTGTGCTAACAAGTTATGATGATGCGAAGTGATAGTCCAGCTAAGGGTGCGAACAAAACTGGATATTGGGGAGGAAATAAGAATGAATTAGGGGTCGCGAAATCTCAAACACCTCTTGAAAGAAGACTAAAGAAGATACTTTGAGATGGTTGACTTTAGTATGTTGATATGCTTGGCATGTGGTATGCGATGATAATGACGTAAAACCGCGTAACCAATTCTATGTATCAATCTACCTAGTCACTGTATCCAGAAATATCTTCTGATTTGGCGCAATCTTGGGAGCGACACCCGATCAAAGATGAAGTTGATGAGGGGCGTGGATAAATGAAGGCAGTTGGACACTGCTCCGTAACGTACTATGCGATTCCTTGTGCTTCTTGAGTTTGCAAAAGCTTTGATGGAAAAGTCGATAAGGAAGAAAGTTTGAAAATAAGAAAGATAAATGGTTGTGGGGGAAACCGGATTATCTCTAAGAGGACTAGTAGGTACCTGGCTCGCCCGCTGGTAGTAACGCTGCGCCACATGTGGCGTTTGTGTGTTTTGAACCTTTGCATGCAATGTCACGTGAATCCATGTCTCACAACGTTTATAGATGAAAGTTCAAAGCCAGCCCTGGCTTTTAAGTTTTGGCTAGCTAATAATTAAGAATTGAAAAGCTCCTCTTCTCTTCTCTTCTCTTCTCATCCTCATCATGTGAAATCTTGACGATTGGAAATCAACCTCAACTCAAAATCCAATCCTCCCCAAAAATCAATGACTTTTCTTTTTCACTTGGGGAAAGAGGTAAATGTCAATTTTGAAGTGTTTTAGTCCGTGAATGAAGTCGTTGACTTGACAATTTCAATAATCATGATGAATCATCAACAAGATGAAAGTATTAGAGATGTATGTGGTTTTCTTCTGTTTTGATTTTTCTTGCCGCGCTGCTTCTAACATTCGTCGTAAACAGCTCAATGTCGCACTTCAAAGAGTTTTATCGGCGTTTCCTGGCAACAGTGGTCACCAATTGATTCAAGATACCGTCAGAAGAGGTATGTCTATCTCCGTATTCTTTTCTTTTTTGCTTCGAAATGAAGGATTAAACTCACCAAATGAAAGCGATCAACGCATCTGCATCGGAATCTCAATTTCCAACACCAGCATGCATCCAAACCGAAGAGGAATCAAAACATTTCGATCAATTACGTAACTTCATCGACAACCTTGTCTTAACTGTAACGCCTCAAGCTCTTCCAGCTTCCTCGTCGACATCGACATCAAGTCGACCAACTTCTGAGCACAACAAACGGAAATCTCTCGATGATCCGGAACGTGATGCAAAGTTGTCACGAAGAAAGTTGTCAAAAGCAGAGCAGGAAGCCGCGGGAGCTTTGCAAGAATTATCAGCCGGTGTTTAATTTATGGTCAGGTATGGATGGATTGATGGATGGACGGTTTGGGTCTGGATTTCACGGATGGTAAAAATTGAAGCAAATTTGTAAGATTATCAAAAAGATGTAGTTAATACAAGAAAGACAGCTTTCATGGATCAATAAGTATCACGTCTCTGTGGCACTGATAGTAGGCGTCGTCCCTTGAAAGTGTACTGTTGGAATTGGTATCTGAATCCTCCTTTGAGATTCCATTACTAGTAGTACAGACCTGCGAACTTCAAACCATCAAACAAAATACAATATCATTAGTATAGGTACTGATATTCCAGATCAAATTTCTCTACTCTAACATAATCGTCTGATCTCAATAGCTAGGTACTATCATAGCTCTTGTTTCCATCCGAAAACATTTTCTGTTTCTATGTATGTGGTCACGTGCCTGCTGCCTATGACAGACTGGCTCTTCACACCTTCATTGGTATGTGAATGTTTCAGAATACGAATTTACTTGGATTATGGATCTTGATTTCTGGTGTGATCACATATTTATTCCTCGATTTGCCTTTTAACCTCATATATCGTTCGTTAAGCTTTCTACTTCTCTAACAAATCGGACATTTTTATGAGTGCTCATCCAGGCCATTTATTCTCAGCATCAACTATAACTAGGCACCTCGTCTATCACTGTCTCTCGTCTATCCCTTTCCTTGCCTACTGCTTCAGAAGCTTTCCATTACAAGGAATCCTATTTGAGTTAAAGCAGGGCCGAAGCAGTTCATTCTGATAGTCGATATTCTTAACGTTGGAAAGGTTCTTGAATCACAACAATCACGTCAATCTATGGAAGATACTCAAATTTTACATATCGCCGAGTGGCATTTTTTTGTATTTCCGGTCCACTTGCGGACCTTTTATGGTAACTATACTAATCAAAGATACCGATGCCAAAATTTCAACGCTAACTATTAAGGGAGAGGAAACGCTGAAATGAGAACGATGTAAAATCAAACCTCCCAACTAAGCCGAACAGACCCTGTATTATTATCCAAATCTAGTCATTTGATATCGACCCTCTTGACCTCAGTCCAAGACTCTTCTTTCTCTACCTTTGGTACAGTGACGACCAAGACACCATCCTCCAACTTGGCGGTAATTTTATCACCATCAATTTCGGATTTATCTTCTTCGTTCAGGGGCAATTTCATAGTGCGCTCGAAAGCACCCACCTTTCTCTCCTTCTTTGTGAGACTCTCCAAGAATTTCTCATCTCCTTGTCTGTATACCACACCTGCCATGTTCAACATTCCTTTCTCAGCATCCCAGTGTACACCTACATCTTCTTTTTTGGCACCAGGGAGTGCAATGTGGAGGACATATGCATTTTCGGTAGCGAAAACGTCAATGGGGGGGACAAAAGAGTTCTCTGTGTCAGCATCTTCGGGAACGAGTGTTTCACCAGAGTGCTGAGCTGCAGGTACACCAAATGCCTGTGCGATTGGGTGAGAGGAGAGTGCTTGTATCATTGCACTGAAATCGAATGGGCCACCTGGGTCAGCGAATGGAGGTGGACCGCGTCTTCCGTGATGACCGTGTGGTCCCCCATGAAGTCCTCCGTGTGGCCCACCTCGACCTCCACCTCGAACACCCCATCCGCCTCGGCTACCTGGCCCGTGGCGTTCGTGATGTCTAGGCCCTCGACATGATTCGGGTCCCTTTGATCCTTCTCTCACTTCAAGATCTGATGACTCTTCACCTGAAGTCTCTCCATCTTTGCGACAATGACCCTTCTTGCCTTTGCCCTTGCAACCTCGAGGGCCCCGACATGGTTTGGGAGATTCCTCTCCCGCTTCAGTGTCAGAAGTTGGGGTTTCCTCACCAGATTCTTCTCCACCTCTGCGGCCATGTTTGCCTCTGCCATGATGGCGATGTCCTCGGAATCCCTCACTACCTTCTCCCTCGGTATGTTCTCCATCTCTGCCTGGAGAGAAGGAACGATAGCCTCTGTGACCGTGTCTTTCTCTTGGTCCAAACCCACCTCTACCAAATGGTCTTGGTCCGCCAAAAGGGAAACCAAATGGACCAAATGGGCCAAAATCATGTGGACCATGATCACCTCTAGGGCCATGAGTACCTCTGGGAACATGTCGTCCAGGATGTTCATGAGGGCCATGAGGTCCTTCTGGTGGACCCCACATATTGAACTCTTGCGAAGGGTGGTCGACACCAGCTCCAGAGTTCTGTGGTTGCATTGAGCGTACAAAATCCCAAAAGGGACCTGCTTGTTGATTGTTGCTTTGATTATTGAATTCCATGATGAATTGATGATGATAGAATAAAGAAGGAATCCAAAAAACGAGGGGTGAGATCAAGAAATATATACCTAAGCAGTAAGTGCGTAAACTCAACCCCGAAACTAGCGGGGAGGCCAAAATGGCAACGAAACACAAACCTACCTATTTTCAGTCAACAAGCTGTTGACGTATCCCACACTGAAAAGGTAAAAAGCTTGAAATGCATCAGACTGAAGAGCTGTGGTTGGTGATTGAGCTGAAAGCAGCCGCGCGTCGGTCAAACACATGGACCCGTGGACAGCATTGATGTGGCGTAAGCTATTCATTTTCCCCTCAAACAAGTTGTGTGGCTTATCCGTTGGCATGGTTTTAGAATGAGTCAAACCTGGGAAGCTAGTGAAGATGACTCAAAGCCAAGAAGTCTCCGGGTATTCGGGGTTTCGGGGTTTCGGGGGTTTCACAAGTCCCGTCAGTTTCTCATTGGTTCAAATGAGCATCTGTCGGAACCGATAAGATCTTTCGGTCCCGAAGAGTGGCAAAGTCTAGTAATACCTAGGTATCGCCACTCGGCCACTCCGCCACTCCAATTTTTCCCCCATCCCATCCATCTTAGTAATCATTTTTTGATTCTTACGATCTCAAACAATGACTTCCTCATTCTCTTCATCGACGCTCACAATTTCCCCAATCTCAATATTCAATCCCAGACAAAGCGCTCAATTCCGACACCGAGTGGACGAATTAATGTCCAAATCATGCAGCAGAACCACATTAAGCTTCTCAAGGCGTCGGTTTTGCCCATAAACAGAATATTCTAGTGATCAATCACTATGCCAATCCCCAAAAGACGATACTTCTTTCCCATATTCCAGGGGCCGTATTTGGACATATCCCATGTTGCGAGACGTGCAACAAAAAGAATTGGAAAGTTGGAGTATCAAGTTGAGGTACCTACCTAGAGCCTGTTATCGCTTGGTGGCTGAGGGAAACGTATGATCTTAGGTAAGGCGGATGGAAAAGGTCGTGGAACGTGGGAATCGGTGAGCTAGGTAGGTAGGTCACTGTCGCTTTTTTATATCTTCATTTCGATTTTTGGATTATATAATGATGCATTTTGGGAATTTAATTGTGCAACTTGGGCTGTTTTTATAGGGTTTTTTTGCGATTAATATGGGGGGGTTCTTCATTTGTCAAGCCTGTGGATAAATGATTGTCGTTCGGTAAGCGTTTTTCGTTAGATGTGTATAACAATTGTGGGTTTACATAACTTCATTACGTTCAAATTATCTGGATCACTTTCATTACTGCCTCCTCTATATCATTTACTTTATTGGATTTAAGCGTTTTATTTGCAACTCGCAGCTTGTGTTTACTCCCGACTATCAAACAGTATTTGAGCAATTATCCTTTAGAAAGAAGATGAATCCTACCTTTCAGATCTGGATTCATAAATGTTCTCTTTGGCAGCCTCCATTTGATCCAATTTCTAGTTTTAATTCTCTCATCGTCTTGTTTTCAGAAGCTATTTCTATTGGATGCTGCGTTGTTTGATTGAGTAAAGATCAAGAGATCATTGTGTCAGTGAGAATTAGAAAAGAAGAGAACTCAAAGACTCAAAGGTGACGAAATCTGGGCCTTGAGGTATTCAAGGATACTTGAGAATCTCTAGAGATTTACTCCCTTTCATCGTTGATATCTGATAGCATTTGACTACACTCAGGCAATATATACCAGGCACAATATTACAGCGATACCATCGTGATCGCATTTTTGACATATATTATTCGTTCCCATATGGAGCTCACAATTTCATACAGACTGCATTTTTGTGAGAAATCGATATAATCATGCCTTTTACGGATAAGCGACCTGCAAAAGGTACTTTCTTACAACCTCTTTCCTGCATCATATACGACACAATACCTCATTTTCATCAAGCTTCCAATATACATCGCTACTAACTGCTGCATTTGCCCAAATCAAAAACTCCGGGTCATACTTCTTCTTCACCTCTGATAATGACTTATAGTTTGATCCATAACAATGATATCTTCAATACGGATTGTTTTATGTCACTTCATTTATATATGAACCTTCTTCGGGAGTAATAGCATGTAACTTCCCATACCAACTATTCAATTGCATCTGAGTATTATGAATATCATCAAGATTAGTATTCTCGGCTAATGGTTTCAAAAATGCAATAGCAAAGAAGGCATTGCGCCAGGTTGGAAGTACGGCGTTGGGAGTATAGTTTCCGTGAGTAATATGTGCTGTAGTCAGGAAGATGGTTCCTCCTTCATCTGTGATATCGCGAAAAGCGCATATGAGTGCAGGCAATGTGGCGTTATCATGCACCGTTGAGCGTGGATATTTCGTCCGCCGGTTGAGGTATTGCTAGTTCTCTGCTTGTGAGACCTCGTGATCGTGGGATTCGGCAATGTTGGCATGGGCTTCGGCGGTTTAGCTGTTGTTTAAGGTGATATTGAGGTTCTCTAGATCGTTGAAAAATGGGTTTAAAGCAGTGTCAATTAAGCTGTTGTAGTGACATCTGGTAACAAAGCGAAGTTTAACGAGAAGCTCTCAGCTGTAATTGTCGAGAATGTGGTAAGATTTAATAGTATCCAACACAAGCAAATTTTGTAGCCATGTACCAACAGCAGTCCAGTACGCAGTACTAATATCATTTTTGAAAGAAAAAGCCACGCCAGCCACAGGACCATTATTATAGACCCGAATCTTCATCGAGAGCACCACAGCAAAATTTCCACCTTCACCGCCACTCAATGCCCAATACAAATCCGCATGATGCGTGGGCGAAACAATCAGATGTTGTCCGGTAGCAGTCACAACTTCCCATTCTAGTGCCTGATCATCAGAAACTCCATAGGCGCCCATAAGTGGTCCATGACCACCGCTTTGCGTAAAACCTCCTGCCGACCCGAACTCCAGAGCATAAACCGCCCACGGCTCGATACCCATGGTTCTGGGCTAGGGGGTAGAATTCAGTGTCTTGAACTCCAGCACCCATGTGTACTGCAGGACCTGTATATAAAGAGCTGCTGCAGTTGGGAGAATCTACATCGTTTAGATTGTGCATCTATAAAGCTAATAAACTAGCACCTACAAAGCGTCCAAGAAAAACATGGCCTGTGTTTTTGATAGTATGTCTGATATTATTTTCCTGTGGAAATTTGAGAGCCGTATTGAGATCTGAAGCGGAAATGATGTTTAGAGCGTAGGAAGCAAGGTTTCCTAGTGTACAGATACTACTCGTGTTTGATTCCAGAAATGGGAACAGGAGTTATTGAGCTAGTAAGGCGATGTGATATTCACGGGTTAGTTTCACTAGTCGCGTTAGCTTTCTTTATCTCATGGTTTTCTTTTGAGTAGGAGGTTGTGAGGGTGGAATATATAATGGGGATTGGAATTGCTTTGATTCTTTGATTTGAGAACTATTTTTAGTGTTAAAATAGGTGCGTAGGATGGCTGAGCTGGAGGAATAGCATGGATATGGTTTAGTTTAAGTGGTTCATTCTATGCTTTTTGGTTGAGTTATGTGGGATCGCTTGGGAAGTAGTGATTTGGGGGGGTTGTTTGGGAGGGGAAGATGTGGAGATGGGGAGATGAGGGAGGGGAGAAATGGGATGATGATGATGCTTATTCTACTTGACTTTTTAGAAGGGATGTTGTATGATACTTCTTTGTTACGGTGAAAAGAGATAGTTCGTGCGTGTGCTTTAGGTTCTCGGTTTTGCTATATTTATTTCTTGAGATTGCTTCAGCCTATATCACACATGCATGCATGCGTCATCTCATGGCATCGAGGTTGTTGATCAAGAGACTATTGTTACAAATGGGATGAATGGATGGATGTACTCATGCGGTGATACAAATGGCGCAGTAATATCCACGCAGTAACATTCCATACATAAACAGAAAAAAAAATCAGAAAAAAAAGAAGTGCATTCTAGAATTTTTGACCTGTTATCTTGCTCTTATATGTTTAATACAGCAATCAACGCAGATCCAAAAGGCAAAAAGGCAAAAAGGCATAGATAGATATGCAATCTCGATCAAGCTTGAGCCTGTCGCCATTGGAGTCGCTCGAGAAAACTAGATGCTTCGAGTTTGAGCGTCGTTGCGGGATATTCAGAGGTCTTTGTTTTCTGGACTCTGGAGTGGAACAACATTTGAAATTTGGAATATGTGCAGTATGGAGGGATTGTTCGCGAGCTGGAGTATTGGTGTTTTGGTTTTGCTATGTGATTTTTGCTTGATATATTTTAATTTCTTCCTAGGATTTGCTCCATTAAAATAGCCTTGAACAATCTTATCAACGACTTTACGGGAAGGTAGAGCTGCCAATAGTTTGGCTTTGGTTGGTGGTGCATCTGTATTGGAAAGTAGACTGGGTTCAGGCCCAGTCTCCTCTTCAATATCATCGTCTTCTCCTTGATCAAAATATTCTTTGACTTCTCCTATCTGATGAATATCAGTATGAGGATATTCGCGCAATGGGAAATCCTCACGTCATCAAGAATTGCAGCCCAGTGAGTAGCGCCAACATATTGCGTTTCCTTCCCGCCAATCACAACCTGCCCTGAAGGCAGTATTGTCTGTTGAACAATTGAGGGCTTATCCAAGCCAGACAATGAACCATCAGCCGTATAAATTCTTTGATCTTCCGATGAGACCCCAAGAGCCGCCGCTCTGCCAACAAGGTTTCCGGGCTCCGGGCCATCACGTGGAGGAGTATGTAGCCCAGCTACTTGTTGGGAATTCATAACATCCTTAAGCAAACTCTCTAGGTGCTTCGATTCTTTTGTGCATTGATATCGCGGCTTTCTTCTTTGGTAAGAGCGTAGGATATGAACATGATCCTATTCTATCCTTCTTTTGACATTAAATGCATAGTTGAGCTCGATCGCATTTAAGTTTGGCTCGTCGACATGGTGTACAACTCAACTGGACACGATTTCTTCTAGAATGAGCAGGAGCAGATTCTTGTGGAGTAGATGTTGATGATATATCCATTCTGATTGATATTTACATTGATCGGCGCTAACGATAAAGGCAATAACAACTGATCGTCTCGTAACGAACCACTCGGCACAGAGTACGGAGACTAAAGTGGTTGTTGATCTCAAAGAAAGTGGCGATAGTAAACAATATCAAGCACTTTGTATGAAAATCGTTGAATGTGTGATATACTGTAACGTTCTTGGTGTTCGTGATAGTCGTAAGAGCAAGGAGCCTGTTGAGGTTGCCCTTCGCCTATGCATTTCAGTCAACGAGCTTCACTCTACAGCCCCCACCCATCATACAACTCTATATAGAGTAATAAGACGGACGCCTCACTTTCTAGCCACCCCTGTTTTGAGCCACTTTTTATTATCAAAAACCTTAAAAAAAATGACATTTTCAATTCTTTTATTTACAAATATAGTTCATGAAAAGTTGACTATATACAATTTAAATTAACTAAAACTTATTCTAAAAGTTTTGGATTTTTAGAATTTTTCCAAATCAATTTTTGAAATCTCAAAATATTGATTTTTAAACTTATATATGATTTTATATAAATTTAATATTTTATTAAAATCTTTAATAACTTTTCAATAAAGATTATTAAAAATAAATTATAAATTTTTATTACAAATTTATACTATTTATAAGATAGAAAGTTCAAAAACATTAAAAAAATTCTAATAATTAAATATTTATAAGAGTATTTTTGAAATTTTTGAAATTATAGAGATTAATAATCTTTATATAATATTATATATCTCTATAAAAAAGTGAAATTCTTAAAAAACTTTTATATAGATTCAAGCTTAAAACCTTCAAGAAATTAATTAGTTTATTTTGATTACTTATAGTTAGAAAGTTATTAAAGATTTAAAAAGGATTTTAAATTTATATCTAATTCTCATTTGAAAATCTGAAAATTCCAGAATAAGCTTTGGCCAGAAAATAGGGTACCCGACTTAGTCATTGTGTCCCCGTGACAGTATATTTTCGAAACGTCTCACTCACATCTGATACTCCAGATCAAGTTGTTCAATAATCCAATATTGTCAATGAAGTAGGGGAAAATAGTAATGCTTATAAAGTTGTCGGGCGAGATCAAAATTTGGTAAAACTCGCATTCTATTTTTTAAGTTGACCCGGCGATTTATACTGGCGGTAGCGGATCTATTGTCTGGTATATTCATAAACATTTCATTTCCCTATTCAATCCAAATCAAAACAACATCAACGCCGATTTGTCTAAGCTATCAGAGAAATCGGTAGTGGTTTACAACCAGTCCTTGTCCTTACGTTAAACTAGACCGCATAACCGTCTATATCAATCCATCTTAATTCTTGTTCTAAAATCTCCATCATATTCTAGCCACCCCAAAGACGGCACTTCCATAAATCTTAATCTCCACCCACTCTATCCCAACTAAAATGATTTAGTTGATTCAGTTGGAGTCGGCAGCATCATCGTTGCCTACATCACTATCTTGCTCGTCAAACTCTTCATCTAGCTTTCCATCTAATGTCGCTACACTCTTGTTATCGTTGCCCCTTTTCAACATTATCAAAGCATGCTCATCACTTTCTGTCACACTGTTCTTTCTGTTACTTTCCCTCCTCTGCTTTCTGCTAACTAGACCTGGGAAAATTCTTGGTTCACTGCCTGAAAGATGTAGATCACTAAAGCCTCCTTCTAGTCCCCATGACTTTTCACGTCCCTTGTTGGCTGAGATTGGCGAGTTGAACGACGAGTTCGGTTGCGTGTGTTGATTTGGGGTAGCATAACCAGATGGACTATCGGTACCTTTCTGATGACTTTTGAAATGAGAATCTAGGTGTAGCTGAGAGTGGGAAGGGGGGATACGAGCAGCCTGAGCAGGATTTTGCTGGTATGATTGAGAGGGGCCATGATCGGCCACGCTAACAGAAGCTTTCATTGACGATGTTGGTGAATGTGGTCGCGGCCCTGGGAAAAAGGAATTTCCATCTGATGGGGCTGATGTTTGAATCGCTGGAGTTGACAAAGCAGTGTAACGTTCAATCCTGTTTTTTATTATTAGTATTGCATACGCTTCCTAGAGGTATCAATGGAAAAGGATCATGACTTACATGGATAGTTCTTGCATCAAAGTCTCGTGTCTAAAGCCTTCTCTGATATTTGGGACGTTGCTCTTTGCCATAGTATTGCCCTTTACTCCGGGTAGATCATAGTCTGGACCTAACCATCTCTGCTTGACGGAATGCTCAAACCCACTTTGTACGACTGAATTTTTGGCCAGTTCACACATATCCACTGCGCTTAGCTTGTAGATTTGTGCAGCGACCGAGTATTCCTCGATAAGTGGCTCCTTTGTGAAAGCGAATTGCAGAGGATCATCAGTAGAGAGAGAGACATTAAGACCTCTCTTAAAGTAGGAAAGAAAAGGGTTTCTTTCATATGCTAGGAACAGTGCATTGTTACTCAAAGGCGACATTGCTACTCCAATCTGCTCGAGATAGAAGATGTATTGTAGCAGAGGTACTTTTCGAAGCAACAAACCATGACTGATACTGTGACAGCAAAGAACTGCAGCAGCTAAATGATCAGTATCACCAGCTTCTCCACAATGAGGTCGTAGCAAGAATGTGTTGAAGCCACGCTGCTTGCGCCACACGTTCAAAGAGGAAATGTTGGCGAAGAGGTAATAGATCCAATAGCTGTAAGGAGGATTTTGCTTAGAGTCCCATACTTTTGGTACTGGGAACTTCTTGAATAACCTCCGCTCGGCTTTACTCTCATCATCTACACTATCAAATCCGATTACTCGCTGAAGGAAGATGTGGAGCTTTGGGTGGCTAGATGGGTCTTTGGTTACTTCAAAGAGAGGCTGAAACAAGTTGATGATAACTTGTTCGAAGTTCTCCATCAATCCACTAGATTTGTAAACGTCGAACAGTCGTGGGACCTGGATCAACCATCGAACGTTGTGTGAGAATAGTTTGTTGTCAACAACCCATGCTGCTAGCTTATCCCATTCGTCGATGGTTCTTCCATAGATGGAAATTCGCCATTCAACCATTTGATACTTGCTTGATTCGAGATCTGATATGACTTCTTTGGTGATTTCTGCTAGATATCTTCCGTTTATGAAATTGTCTGTCTTTAAGAAAATCGTTCTCAATCGAGATTCACCAACAGGATTATATTTTAGATTGAATTTGTCGAATCGATGGAAAGAATCGGTGTGAGCCTGAAAAGTAGTTAGAAAAGTGCAACGAAAGCAAAGAAAGTATCAACGTACATGCATATCGAGAGTGTCGATACTCAAATCATAGGAAGTCAAGTTGATACTTTGAAAAACCTCAGCTAAAGTGAGATGTTTACCATCTCTAAACATGACAATTTCATCAGGATTCTTCTTCATCTTACTCTTAATGAATCTAAGCAGATGCTTCTGGTTCATACAAGCGGAGTGATGAACGTGAGTATCCACCTTTCTAACATTGTAGAAATCTCTGTGCGGTACACGTTTACTGTCCGCCATTTCTTGATATTCATTGAGAAGGACGTAAAGATTGAATTTGCCCTCCAAATACTGCAAACGACGATAGGCAAAACTTTTACTTGGGCCATCAGATGAGACATTGAGAATCTGTTCTAAGTCCATGTAGAATTCTCTGATGTCAGGTATGTTGATTACGGGTTGTTCAAGCTCTTGAAGTTTAGAGTTTTCGTAGACCTGGAACACTCCACTTCCATCAAGTCTGAAGGTCATTTCTCCCGGTGGAGGAAGTGGAAGAAGATCTTCCATTTCGAAATCAGAACCAATGTCTTGCCCAGGCTTTCTCTTACGAAGAGGAGTTTTAGGGGCACTGCGTGCACTAGTAGCCTGTGCTTGTGACAATTCTGATGCCGCACCGCTGATCGTTTGCTGATGGCCATGAGCTTCAGCTTGAGGTGGCAATACCATGCTGTTCGCCGTACTGTTTGCTGTACTGTTTCTTGCATTTGTTGCGCCTTTATCGTCGTGCCAAGATGGCTCGGGCGGTGGTGGATAGATACTCCAGTTCGGATCATCTTTAGGATTATCACCATCTTCTTGTAATGACAGGCGAATGTATTTGTGCCTAATATCTATCACTTTTTGAATATTAGTGTAGATGGATGCGAGTTCCGCAGTTATGTGGGCGTCAGAATTGGCAAAGCCGCCTGCACCAGAGCCAAGGCCGACACCGGCACCTGCACCATGTAATCCTTCCATCTCTAGCAATGGTTTAGGTTCATGAGGAAGTCCTGGATGAGCTGCATGATCTCTAGCTTCCTTGTCTGCTCTAAGAAGGGATTCTCGTCTATCGTGTAATCCAGGGGTATGAACAAAAGTTCCCGCAGCAAGACTCGGTTCCTGAATTACAGCACTTTCTGGATGCTTTCCAAGATCTGCCAGACCAATAGGAGGAGCAGTTCTGAGTTTATTGAGATTTGGGAGATTTTGTGTGCTCGCTCCTGAAGCTTGGCTTCCAGATCTATTCAATCCTCCTTGTTCAGAATCTAAAATGTTAGAGAAGGATCTAGGTTTCAACACAGGACTAGGAACTGCAGACTTCTGAGAATGACCCCAATTGCTGCCGCTACCAGTTTTGTTGCCTTCCAACTGACTGCGTTGAAAGAATAATTTCGCATCTGTCTGGCTCATCTCTTTCTCTGCAAGATAGTCGAAGTATGCTGTTCTCTTTTGCTTGTCTCGAGCTAACATTCCACTTTGAGACATGGGCGTTTCGAGGCCGGGTGTATCATCAGATAGGAGAGCTGCCTCTGGAAGCATGTCATCTGGTTCCTCCACGAGATCTTCAGTGACCCCGAGATACCTCTCCTCCGCGATATCATTATCTATGTCGGACATGTTGGAAAATGCTAGTTTGGAGGGAACTCTTGGGGAGGAAGGTAATTTTGAAGAGGTTTGTTCTGATGATGAATCTAGATAAAATATGTTAGCCCCTCATATTTTATGTACCCTGCAACGCGGGGTTGAAGTGAAGCTGTGTGACACCAAATCTTAGGTCCTTACCAGGCATGTTTGTTTCTTTTTATGCTCTTTGGCACCGAGAAGCTTGTTATGTCTGATAGTCTAGCCAGTATCCCCAATAATCTGATCAAAGATGGCTTGTTCAAACAAGAAGAAATGGTAAATAGAAAGCAAGAAGTAAATCTTCAAGGTTGACTGTAAACGTTGGTTGTTTAACCTTGAGTCTCTATGTTCCTGGGGCTAAAAAAGCACTCCGACCGCTGTCTTGGAAGGCCTGTTAATAAGTCTGTCTACTATGGAGTGTACTAATAATTAATTGACATGAATTTGTAACTTTCGACAAATCAAAGACCAGCGAATCTTTCTTGGCCTTACTACGAAGTACAATCTGCAATCTTAGCGCCTTTCTCTCTCTATCGCGCGAAGTCAAACGCGCTTTTCCCCCTCCAGGATCGATTATTATTTGTATGTACAGTGGTGACAACAAATACTACCTATCTAGTAGCTACTAACTTTGAAGGACCGTGCCATCCATCCCCCTAGTTACTTTCCTGTCGTTGATTTATTAATCTTCGTCACCTTTCACAACTTCAACACTTCTTCCCGTTAACCAAAAATAACAACAATTAGCTTTTTTACCAAACCTCACACAAAGATGTCTGCACAAACTGGTTCTGCGGCCTCTATCAGCGACAAAGGCAAAGGCAAGAGTGCTGCTGAGCCCCAAGATGTAACCATGGGTGAGGGCGGCGACGATAGCTCCAGCGAGGAGGAAGTTGATGATGTAAGTTGCTCCCGAGAGTACTGAATACCTACTATCTCATACTGACAATATTCTTTTAGGATGCTCCACCACCAGGTAAATTCTCAAGGGCTCCACACTACTACTTCTCGAACATGAATTGACAACACACATAGCCGAGGAGGTCGAGGAGGAAGCTTCAGACAACGAAATCGATAAATCCAACATCATCCAAGGTCGTCGCACTCGTGGCAAGCAAATCGACTTTGCTGCCGCTGCCAAGGACCTTCCAGCCGACGATGATGAGGATGAGGACGATGACTTTCAATCTGAGGGCGAGGAAGATGATGAGATGGGAGGAAACTAAGGGAGAATGACGAATGTATTTTGATAGATTGGAGGAATTCGATTCACTCGACAATCACTGGTTTTCAGCGGATTTCAACACCTTTTACATTATCGCATTCACGCTCGCAGTTAGCGATGCCACATCTTTTCGTTTATTCACAAAATTTCACGACTCTAGGCATATGATTTGAAGGATTGATATGGGACATCTGGGGAATTGGGGGGTGGGGGGAAGATGCTTTTCAGCACATGGATGTGTGTACTTCTAGATACCAAACAAAAGGGGCGTCCATTGCACATTGCACATTGCACATTGCACATCGCATCCAGTTCAGATCTCCAAATCAGCGCAATTCCCCCAAGTAAAAAGTAAACCACACAGACGAAGCAAACAAACAAAACAAGCCCATTTTACATTCAATTCAGCCTTGCAAACCTTCCTCGTAATTTTTTCTGCACAGACTGGAAATCCCATCCTGATAAACCAGATAAAGAAAACCCACCGGATCCCATATTAAACAACCAGGATCATGCCCAATTTTCCCAAACTCCAAACCATTACCGCATTCTCCTTCAAACTACCAAGATAGCTACCGTGTCCCATCACACCAGAATCTAGACTCTTTCCTCTCTTTCGTTTGTGCTGTGTTTCGAAACACCATCATTGGAGGAGCGACGGGATCTCAAACAGCATATCCTTTGACAAGCGAACACATATCCCGATTGCAAAGGCAGGCCGAGTGATAAAGACGAAGAGTAGATTTCTTATCTTGTTGCGAAAGGTGTTTGTTTCGTGGATTTATTTATCTTCACATACGAACGGATTTTATACGGATTTTGTTTAAGGATATCATGGCGAATAGGTGTGTCTGATTTCTTTTCTTTTTCTTTGGTGTGCTATGTATTCTGAGACTTTGCGCATCCCATTCATTTCCTCGATCTATTTGGTAGGTATAATTCGCGAAACGGGAACGGGAAGTTAGAATTCATAAATGCGAAATACATTCTCTGCGCCAGAAACATCTTACTCTTCGACTCTTCAATGCAAACAAATATCCTCAATCTATATCTATATCTATATAAGTAACCCATATTAACATTCCCTGGAAACTCTCCACAGATTCGGCGCATCGTCTCTCCATCAACGCGATCCGCGCAGTGCGCTTTTTGAAAATTATAACCCAGGCGCAAGTTCGAGGAATGCGAGTTCGAGTCCGGCCCCAAGGGGATATGGATATAATGCGGGAGGGGGTGTAGGAGGATATTCGGGAGGAGGATATGCGGGGGGAGGGGGCTATGGGGAGAGAGAGGATAGTGCGCAGGGGTTTAGGAGCGCGACGCCGAATAGTAGGTATGTACTGGATAGCGGGTTGTGATTTTTGGTTCATGGATTGTTGTGTTGGTTTTGGGGAGGTTGGGGAAATTGGGGAGAGGGAAGAGGGTAGATGGAAGAAGCTAGATTGGGAGGATAGAAATGCACACGATGGGATATGATGAACGCAAGTGCACACATCATCCCCTCAAAAACCCCTCCAACCCAACCAATGCCTCTTGCCCATACACAAAAGAAACTAAAACTACAACTAACCCCCCACCCCTCATCTAGAGGCCAATACAGCGACGCCGTGCTCAACGAACTCGAAAGTCAAAACAATGACCAAGTAGAAGGCATCATGGGCAAAGTGCGACAACTAAAATCCGTTCGTCTTTTCCCGCTCTCCCTCCCTCCCCCTAAATCAATATCCACTAACCCTCCTCCAGATGACTATCGCCATCGGCGACGAGATCCGCGAATCCTCGGCTCTCGCGGAAAAAATGAACGATAATTTCGAAGGCGCGCGCGTGCGCATCAGAGGAACCATGAATCGCATGTTGATTATGAGTCAAAAGACGGGGGTTAGTTGGAAAGTGTGGATATTGTTTTTCGCGGCGGTTTTTGGATTGTTTTTTTGGGTGTGGGTTTTTTAGGGGGGGGGGAGAGGAGAATTGTATAAATACAAACTGCTGCATAATACGTTTACCGCAGTGCAGAACACGAAGAGAAAGGGGAGGGGAGGAGAGTAAGTCAAGCAGATTAAATTCGCGGTATCCAAAAAGAAAGAAAGGAAGGAAGAAAGGGGTAGAGCCTACTGGTACACAGTAGTAGAGTATAATAATGGATGGAATGGATGGAATGGATGGAATGGATGGAAAGCATGGAATAATACGTACGACACGAGGGCGTTATGGAGAAAATGGGTTGGTTGTATCATGTCATATCGTATTACATCGTATTATATCATATTATGAAATAGCATAGCAAATTTCATAATCACTCGATAAGATATGATTTAGTCCGTGATGGGTGATAGTTCAATGTTGGCCTGGGTTGTAAGATATGTGTTTGTGTTTGCGTGTATGCGTATATACATCACTCTACGTTTCTGTCTCCTGGGGCAAGAGAAAGGAGGAGCTGGTCATATATCCCTATATGCCTATCTATTTTATGTACATCCATACATATTGCCGTACAAAACTTGACACGAACATCAACATCAACATGAAATGCTACATGAAGAGCTTCCGAGTTTGAGGTAATGTAAAGCAAAGATGAAATTCCTACCTAGTAGGCTGGTAAAGAGGTAGCTAGGTAGATAAATCAGCCTACTCAGTACAGATATCTGAGAATGAGAAGGGGAGTGAGGACGAGAAGAGGAGGGGGATAGCTTGGTAGATCGCTAGGGAGGTAGGGAGGGAGGTATCAGAGAACATGGAGGAATGTATTACTCTGTGAATTAATACCAGACGATGATGACGATAGTAATAATAATCATCATGATAATTCTATTCCCCATTTCATAAACTCTAACATTCAAACATTCTAGAATCTATGATACTTCGATACCATAATATTACCGTACAACTACCTACCACCTACCCAGTAGACATCACCCCATTTCTCGCAGTCCATATAACACAGTATAAAAACACAAACCATGTGCATCAAGAATCCTAAACCCCAAATTAGAACTCACAAGAAATACTAAACACCACATAGATAGATACCCAACAAACTATCCATCCGCACATCTGTATACAATTTAGCGAGACCAGCCCCCCTCCAGCATTTAGCATCCAGCACCCAACATCCAACATCCAAGCGAGCGAGCGAATTATACACCTCGAAAGGAGCTTCTCAGAAAGCCCCTCTTTCAAACCAACTTCAACTTCAACTTCAACTTCAACTCCAGACCTCACACCGCAAATAATCCATTTCATCTCATGATCTAGCTCCTCTTTCATCCTGAACCCCACGCCACCCTTCTAATCTCACAATCGAGCCCCAAGCCCTTGAAATCACTAACCATTCATTCATTCATTCAAAACTTCCATCTACGCAATTCCTTCCAAATGGTTTAATCGAATGAGTGTAATGTCACCTCCTCATTTCCTCATCTCTCTATTCTTGTTTCCCTATTTCCTTCTTTCTCTACTTCATTATTTCTCCATCTCCACATCTATCTCCATCCACCCCACCCCACCTCACCCCCCCTAATTTCCTCTCCACATACATTAAACAATCTAGCTATCTACTTACCACCTTAACCACCAATGTCACAAAACCATACCACTTCGCTATCACTTATCTTCAATTCCCTACAAGAATCCGACAATTTCAAAATTTCATAGTTTCATTCATTCATCAATCGACTAACTAAGTATCATAGCATAACGGATGACCTATCATATCATGCCACCATATCACCCCATAACGACTCATATGCCACCTACCCCCCATCCCAACCTCTCCTAGATCTCTAAGAACCCCTAAATAATAAAAAACCCTGGTATATTGTCCTACTCCACCCAACCCCATCCCGCCCAATTGATACCTTTAAAGCACAGTAGAACCCCTCCCTCTCATTAACACCATTGAACTCCCAACGTATAATACAGCTTTCTCCGCATCCCCCGCATCCCCACCCCCATATTCCCTCACTCCCTCCCCACAAAAATAACCACATTAATCGCCGCCGCATACGCCTCCCTCACCGCACAACTCAAGCACGTCTTCCCCACCACCGCCACCACGGCATTCAATCCCCAATGACTACACCACGCTCTCGCCATACACTCATTATCCTCCACGCCCCAGGCCTCCACCACCAATACCGTATCCTTATCCACGCCGTCCATAAGTTCCTTAAAGCTCCACTTTGCCCCCTTCCAATCATAACCTTCTTCCCAACTCCCCTCAACCCCAAGTTCCTCCGGTTCTGGCGCCCATCCTAATTGTAAATCTTGGTTTAAATTATCACCGCCGACGCCTGCCCAATTATGGATATCGAGTAATTGATTCATGCGTGCAATTTTATACACATAATCGAAGAAAAGAGGATGAGGACCATTAGAACAAGGATATGCGGTGATGAATGAAACATCATGAGCCAACCTCAACCAGTGCGATTGGCCTTTTCTAGCGAAAACCACACAGGCATCATAAGTAGGCGGTCTCTTTCCTATTTCACTACTCCTCTTTGGAGATCCACCGTCGAGCTGCTGATTTGGTTTTGCAACTTCGAATGCTAATTTTTCAATGCGAATGTTGTCTATAGGTGGTGAGACCAAGTCTAGCTTGGGTAGCACAAATTCACTGACGGGATAGACTGGATCGCCAGGGTCAGGGGGACCAAGAGGATCAGATCGAACTCTCATACTCAGGACGTCTGTCTTAGTAATGACTTGAGGAGTCATACGTTGACGAATCCGCAACACTTGAGTGCGTTCGATATCCGTGGAAGCGAGAGCTGGGCCAACCCAACCTGCAATTTCTTGACAAGTGGGGGCAAGAACTTTACCAACGATAGATGTTGATGCCCAGTACGTACTACCTCTATATTGAAAGCCGGAGTTTGGATACATGTGTGTAAGACCTCCAAGATCAACACCTCCATCTTCGTCACAATCGATTAAAGTATTCATAAGAAGCCATGGTTGCGTGGGTCCTGGTAGTATCAAGCCAGTACAAAATGACATAGCATCTGCAGAACGATCTTCAAGAGGTGAAGCATCCGAATCTAGCTCTTTGAGAGCTTCATCTACCATAGCCAAATTAGGCCATTTCATAGCTCTTGCGAATTTGCGCAAAGCTTTAACTTGTGATCTCTTTTTGAGAAGTCTGAATTTAACTGTTTTGAAATCAGCCTTTTACCGTAAAGAATACAGACATGTGAAAACCTACTCTGCTGAAATTCATCGCCAGTTTTATACTTTTCAATGGTCATGCACTCTCTCCATTTCTTCGCAACAGCTAGGTCCCAAGAGATCCATGGTGGTAATTGTGCCAACAATCTCTCTTTTGCTTCCTCCGAATGATGTCTTGACTGGATTCTCAGTTCCAGCTCCATGCTCAACAATAACTGATGAAAAAATGCTCGATATCTTCCATGATCAGAATATGCCCCATCAGCAAAGAATTTAGCCACAACATGATTCTTAGGTTGACTAAAATCAATCCATTCACGTCTTGACAACGCAATAATCAGATCCGCAATTTGTTTCTCCATGCCCTTTTTCGCGATGAATGATTTGTCGAGATCCTTGAGTAATACTTTGTATAAACTCTTATATAACATATCCTCACTCTCATCGTCAATCCCAGCTTCCAAGTATATCAAGCGATCCAATATAATTTGCAAATCCACATCCCTCAGTGTTTGGACACTTGAGTCGCGAAGCTCAATCGGGGCATGCGGATTGCCATTTACGCTGCACCAGTGATTCAACGTAATAGTACCTCTCAACGTGCCATAATAAAAGGCCATACTAGGCTGTTCAAGAGAATCCCATGGTCGAGTTGCTTCACCTGGTCCTTGTAACCGCATTGAATCCGCCATAAATGCCCTACTGAAGATCTCCGCACGATCACTTCCCGCCCCTCCATTCCCATTACAAGTCGCATATAGCGCAAAGTATTCGTCGGAAGCATGTGCGATTGATTCCATCGTTCCTTTGAAAACGGGTACTCCATTCGCAATCAATTGCATTGCTTTTCCTTGTGATAATTCGGCGTCGTTTGATAATTCAACCGGTGGCCATTCCATCAATGGGCTGACCCTAGGCGCTCTTACACCCTCCTCCGTATATTTTGATGATTTGCCTGTACTAGGTCTTGCATGGTGAGGCGAAAGAGAGGTAGAATTACTTAGTTTATTCGAATGATGTCTCTGCGGAGAGGTAGAATGAGCATCGTCATCTGCGCGACGTCGATAATCTGTATGTGGTGAACGAGAAGTCGAGGCACTCAAATTGACCGAATGGTGTCTGCGAGGATTTTCATCATCTTCGCGATCTCTATTATCTCGATGTCGATGTTTACGGGAATAAATCGATCCATATCCATCACCCTCATCCTCTCCATCCCTTGAGTGTTTGTCTCGATTTCTCCTACTTCTCCGATGTTTTCTGCGCTCTCTCCTCGGTCTCTGTTCAAACTCCTCAATTTCTGGCTCAATCTCTGATTCCTCCTCACTCTTCTTCTTGCCCTTTAGCAAACCTACGATCTTGTCCTTAACACCAACCATTGTCGGCCTATCTGTCACTGCCTCTCACTTTTGTTCCCTTGTCGAATTATCGAATCTTCAATTTCCAGTCTCCCAAATTTCCTCACATTCATCCGTATTCGAATTCTTTTTTCCGTAATCAGTAATTGGATACCGTAAAACCCCTCATTCACAAATTCACAAGCTCACTCCAATCCAGGTCTGGTGGTGTAACAAATTCCTGAAAAGTAACAAGGCTGACTGACAGATGAACGAGTAATAATAAAAAGTCAAGTATGATGAAATATTTTGGGTCTTCATACAGACAACCATACCAACCGACACGGCAGTTCCTCGAGGCCACACCTCATCATATTGATCTCTGGGGAAACCAATATGTTCGATGTGGTCGTCATTGTCCAGACAAACGTTGGACAAATAAAGTTGCAAAAAGAGATGACCGAGTCCCTAATATCCACTATATTTTTGTTATAACAACCCTATCATCCCTATCTCTTCGGTTATCTCCCGGCTATTTCACGGTAAAGCACGTATTCATGCTTGATGAGTCGATCCACTAGGTGTGTAGTCATAGGAATCACCGAGTAAGGTGTCTTCTTCATTGCTCTCCTTACGGAGTGCATTACAGTCGTGTCAATTCCTGACGCCAAGTTATAAACTGGGGTATTACTACATCTTTAAAACTATCTACTGTTGAGTTGAGCAAACAACTTGGTATACCTATGCAGCGCTAGAAGCTCAAGCTCGCTCGAAATATACAGCCAAAGGATCCACTACCCCTCAATCATACGTTTATTTACAAATCAATCTTGAAATCCTTCACAGTTTGATTAGCCAATACCATGTTGGTTAAATCAAGTTCGTCTTCTCGGTACTTTGCCATAGCTTGTTTGTACTACACGTATATTAGTTAGCTATCACCTTCCATAATCCTCTGTTGTGGAAGCTTACCTTGAAGAAGAAATTGAGCAATAAGGACACCATAAGGGCAGCGCTGACAATCATTGGTCCAATCAAATTATCAAAATCTTTTCCGCTTCTGTCAACAATCATCTGTCGCCGCGTGTAATGCATCCAGTAGCCCCAACTTCCAGCAAAGATGGCAATAATAATATATGCAATACCCATAGCTTCTGCAATTTCATCTTTTCCTGCAGCGGTGTATAAACTAACAGCAAGAGACCCCAATAAAATGCATATGTGTTGCCATTTCAAAAATGTACGTTCATTGGCTAGCCAAACTTTAGGTTCGACTTGTAAAGGACCTGAATCCTTAATGTATTGAGTTGGTTTAGTAACACCAGGAGGCAACTGAGTACTTTTCGATCGGCGTGATTGGGCATAACGCGAGAGGGAGAAAGATGGGAATACAGATGCCAAGGTACCATATCCACCTTGACTACTTGAGCCTTGAGTTTCGTCTTCTTCATTGCCAGCATCTCCAGAAGCAGAAGAACCATCCAGATTGGATCTTCTGCCAGCTCTCTCCTCAGCAACCATTCTCTCCTCCATATACGACTTGCCTACCGGCGAGCTCACAGCAGGTTTGAAACTTGCGCTTGCTTTTTGAGAAGTTCCAATGAAGCTACCGATTACGAGATCGTTCTCGGCCTGCTTTGCTTTTCGCGTTTGATCTTCCTCCCATGCCGCTTGTGGATCTTTGCGAATATCGTCCGTCAAGTTTCCGTGCCACGAAGGATAGTCGTTGACATTATCTTCAAAGAGAGATACAGCACCTTGAAGGAATTTAGAGAAGCCTGGCGCGGCGTACACAAGATGTGACCCCATCAAATCCTGTACCCATTGAGGCTGCTTCTTGGTTGCATCATCCTTAACCTTGATTTCCAATACCGAATATGGAAATCTTGATATTTCTCCTGGGTTGATGTTGCTGAATGGATATGACATGGCACTACTATCAATGTCGCGTCGGTGCCAGCTCTTGGGATCTCTGCAAGGTCTGTCCTCGTCTATGCAATCTTCCCGGATGAATGCCAATTGAGTATCAATAGATATCCTAACTCTGTCGTCCACTGGCTTTTGAAAGGCAGTCCGAGTGTAATTAGCTCGCAAGATTGGTTGTAAACCGTTCTCCTTAATCAATGATTGAATATCGTTCACAGTCTTCTTGAAGGCCTCGATTCTTGCTTCTGGAAGCCCTTGTCGTTCCATCTTTTGTATACTCTTCTCCATTTTGTATTCACCTTTGATGAAGGAGTCGATATATTTTTCCTTTATCAAAAGCTTCTTTTCTTCGCTGGTGCCATTCTCATGTACAATCTTTTGTTCAAAGTGAAGCTCTGGATTGTCCTTCAATTGACCATACCATCTGATCCGTAGTGACATAGCATTCTCTTTCTTCTCCCTCTTTTGGTCATAAAGCGTGAAATCCGGGCTATCAAGATAGAGAGAATTGAGAGTAGGGTCAGCTTGAGGTTCGGGGCTTTTCGATGACGGTTCGCTATATACTACAGCGGGAAGTCGACGAAGGATATAGGTCTTGACTTCCAGAAGATTATCAGGGTGAACCCAAACTATAAGGAAGTTTATTAGTATACGAATTCATGTGAGGATCTAATCTACTTACATTTGTACGCAGTATACTTCTCCGGTGATTGTGACTGTGATTGAACATCAGAGGATGAAGGTACTGCAGGATCCGTATTATCATCCAGTTGTTGGCGGACAACAAAGTACATCATCGACAATTGGTTGAGCAATGCTGAATAGCCCTGTTCCGAATTAAAAGGTCTCTTCTGCAAACTCATTTGTACCATCGGCCTAATCTTGTAGTTGTTACCCCTCTTGCGATCATGTTTCTTGACAATCTTCAAGAAGGCGGTATAATTAATGCTGCTATATTTCTTCAATTCCTTTGTGTCATTGATGATCGCATCAAGCTCCTCCTCAATCTTCTTGAATTTGGAGGTGAGAGCATCGTCTTTTGATTTCCCATCTTCTGGTGCGAGTTCCTTGAGTTTCTCTCCAGTCGCATTAGCACGCTGTTCCAGTCTCTTGAATGTAGATTCTTGAAAGGATGCGATCTTTTCCAATTGGACGTTGAGGATCTCCTCGCAGAATTTAGTCTCGTCATCTGCGGTCCATGGCCTATCGTCACCCTCAGATGCTGAATCTTCTCGTAAGAGGTGTTTAAGCTTCGCATAATCGATGTATTGATCCTTCCATGGCGGATATATTGATTTCTTCAATGTCTGGCCAAAACGCATAGTGACGGTGAAATGAAACTATTGTATTTTGTGTTGTTGGTTGAATGAAAAGGAAGAGTGGAATTGGAAGTAGGAAGGATTGATTTGTGCTGAAGCTTGTGAAAGCTATAAGGTTAAGGAGGTTGGAGCTTAATGAAACCTTATACGGCGACGAAATCAAATGTTAATCAATGCTAAAAACATTCAAAAAATGACGATAACATGAAATTCAGATGAAATGTTATATATCAGTCAATATAACATCTGTCACTTGGAAAAATCATCAAATTGAATCACAGTACTATTATATAGAGCACAAATTAGAAAAATGTTGGAAGTCTCATCAATAACTTTTTGTATATCGGTATCGAAATTGTTTTTTCTTCTTCGTTTTTTTACTGTCAAATCCGAACTAGTCACTAAAAGCCTTCGTATTTATTAAAATCTCCAACCTTCACAGTGACATTCAAAAGAAATCTAACTATTCAATCCCAATTCCAACATTAATACAAATCCGCACATGTCAAAATCATAGGTATGTAATCTTACCTCCATCAATTTTCCCATTTTCCCATTTTCCATACTCCCCTCGTACTGTACAACAATCCCACCCACCCACGTGCACCCAACCAGCGATGTGATTGCACCGGCTCGTCTTCCATGCTCACCACCATCCATGTACGTACCTACGTCGTATAGTGGACATACATACATACCTACCGACGGAGTACGAAGTACTTTATACTTTGTACAAGCATTATGCATTGTATCATCGGAACTAGGATATCGATGGATTTATCCACTGGTTGTCTTCCGGTTGGTCGGGCAATATGTGTATGGAAAAGAAATAAAAAATCTTGACTTTACCAATGACAATGTAAGATCTGACTAATTAATCAGATGCCACGATGGGATGGATACCTACAGAGTGGTAGCATGAGATAGCATCTAAATGGCCGACAGAAGCCTCACGCCAAATTGGATTTACAGATATATTGGAATATCTATGTGTACATATCTACTCAAAATGCCATGTCGCCAATCATAATGCGATATCGATTTGTATTTGATGTAAACTTTGATTTTCTTTCTTTGCTGACTCTTCTCGTTCACTCGCAAATACATCATTTATGTACAAATAATAGTAAGTGAAAGGCAATTCAAACCAGTCCAACTCCCTCGCACGCGTCAATCGTCATCATCGACTGTCCAAAGAAGTGTTCGCACTCGCTGGTATCGTAAAAAGCATAACCATCATGAAGCCATATTGCACAATTGATGAACCCTGCCGCCTGTCTCCCCTTTTTCCTCCCATGAACAATGCATATAAAGTAGTCCGACCATTATTTTTGAACACCGAATCGTGTCGTTATTCATTTCGTTCTCCCAGTAATGCCAGAAATATACTTTTGATATGTTCATTCTAGAATGTAAATATTCATACCATTACAATGCAAGCGTCGATGCAAATATGTTGAATGTAAGTAAATTTGTAAGTGGGTGTGTCGTGCTTTATGTTGCAGCTGCGGCGATTTGGATAGGAGCGCGCTCAGCGCGTCCTAAAGTCTCGCGATGAGGGCCACGGGCTAGGATTTCGGATGCGTTGTTCTTAACAATTCCACCAGTGACAGGCAAAGAGGTAGATCCCTCCAAGAAGCGATCACACTCTCTAGCACATTGTCTGCCTTCGTTGATACCCCTAAATTCTGTTAGAAAACTATATCAAGATAAAATTGTAGTCTGTGATTTATGACTTACCAAACGATGAGAGATTGTCCACGACGACAATCTCCTGCAGCGAAGATACCCTCAACA